CAATACCTATCTTTACTCTCCAGGTTCCATGATGTTCAGTTGGTTCGAGAAGTCCAACAGAGGCGGTCTAACAGAACGCTCTCGAAGGAGCTACAACTAGACGCTTACTGGTCGCGCATAGGCGATTGGACTTGGAACTGATCTAAAGTGACCACATGTAGGTGGTCAGCTGTGACTTTTACATCTCCATAGTGGAACCAGTGTGATTACTCTCCTAAACATATTTAATCCATTTGTACACACTCATTCCGTTTATCTTTTCTTCTATAAATCAGGAATAAAACATGATAGTTTGAATCGTGGGTGTGATCTCTGTTTGATGATAAGACCTCACCCTCACATGAGTGAATTACTCTGATTAGAAACTGAAGTTTGAAATATAATAGATAAAGTTGAAATTATGCCAGAATTCACAATGTTTATTGAAAAGCATAATTGAGCAATTCTTGCTTTTTAAAACACAGTCTCATACCCAGCACAGTTCAAGCTAACAACACGTCTACTGTAGTAATTAAAAGAGGCAGAAGCAATATGCAGTTTGTTTTACATGTACTTGATCTCAAAAATCTGTTTGTAAGGCTTTGTCAAGTAAATCACAAGGAACATTTCACCTGCACTAAAACTTTTGGTTAGAGAGAAGGGTACCCCTTGCATTATCACAAAGTTGTTGCTTCATTTATCGCCAAGCTGTTGTTTCATTTATGGTAGCCTGAGTAGTTAAATGTTATGGAAACCCTAATATGATGTAATTGGTTGCACGATTGTGGGTAAATTCGTAAGGGCTTGCATGTGTATGTTGGTTAGGAAGTATACTGCTTGTTTTGTGATTGAGACAGTAAAATGGCTGAATGTGGCAAGATTAATCTTGCCACATTAGTTTCTGTATGATTTAGAAAGAAAGGGAAAAGAGCATTATTTGACTGGCGTGTAAATGAAGGTTTACTTAGTAGCCATTATTAAGTGTCCCTGTATGTAAGAAGGAAATACGTATGGTCGGAAGATAATGGCGTACGGAGGATATATTTCTGACTCTTATTTTGCGAATTTATGTGGTGAAGTCAGTATACAGATTCGAGTTCAGATAATTTTAGGAAGTTTTTGGATGCTGTTAAGGAATTTTTTTTTAACTGAAGACAAGTTAATTCGTAAATAAGGTAAGTGGATATTTCCTTTGTGTAGAGCAAAGATGAATTTCCTTTTTTATGCTATTTCTTTGTTTGATTTAAAATGTAGTTTATTGAGATTATATATTTTTTTGTTGGCTTTCCTTTTACTTTTTAAGTGAATATAGTTTGACGTGTACATGGACAAAGTCAAGAGAGTGTGCAATGCATAGTTTGTGCAATTCTCTGATGTTTTTTTAAGTGAAAATAGGTCGACGTGAACATGGATACCGAGTTTGTGCAATTGTTTGTCTTGTTATTTTGGCTCTCTGTAATGGTGATTTTTGCCCCGCTACACAAGCCAAAATAACAAGTCAAAGAATTTCACAAACCTGGTATCCATGTACCGCCAAAAATCGAGAATTTTCGCCAAGGGGTACCCGCAAATGTATTTTACCAAAATTTTAATGTGCTCCCATGGCCATAAGACAATCTACATGCAAACTTTATGGTCAAATATAATTTGCACAATGCTTTATTACATATTAATAATGTCTATAGTAAGCAACATCTGTTTTAATTAACTAAGACTTTTTCCTTGAATCATTAAATAATAAAACAACAAATATACTAAATTTTAAAAAATATCACTATTATCAGTGCTACTTTCAGAGACGGTTGCATGGATTTTGGCGATTTTTCTTTTGGGGAGTAATATGACTTATGGTAAACCTATAGCTGGATAAGTTATTTATGGTAACCGACACTTTGTTGTCATTTTATTTTTAAAATAATGCATTTTATTATGCATAAATTCCATGTTTTAAATATTATTTATGGCATCTAATATTAAAAATCAATTTAATTTTACATTTTTATTTGAAATAAAAATTTATGTTTATGATATTTTATGAAATTTTTATGTTGTGGATGATGTAATCATAACGTCACCTTACTTAAAAGTAACTGGTTTTAATATCTATAAATTTAATCTAATGTTTTAAACATTATTTATGGCTGTTAAATATTAAATACAATTTAATTTGCATTTTTTAAATGCTTTTATATGTATGATTATTTAAATAATTTTAATTCTAGGCGTGATGTAATCAACTCTCTGACTGGTTATAGAATATTTGTGTATTAATGAGCTGTAATCAGCTCCCTGACTGGTTACTGAAAATTTATGCATTACTGCGCCATTTTAAAATTTAATTCCTATCTTCGAATTCCTTCAAAAATGTCTCTTTTAAAGATGAATGTTGTTATTGGTGTTATTGTTGTTATTGTTACCAAGAATTATTGGTATTGGAATCAAAAAATTGTCCTTTGAGACCTTATTTTGGCCAGCCTGGCTTTCCTAATCAAACATTTATTTATAAATTGTTAAAGGGTCAGAGGAAATTTATTTTTAAATTTTTGGAGGAAACCTCGCTATTGCTTCTTAAGTGCGAAAATGTAAATCACAGATGAAGATCGTTAAAAGAGCCGATTCTGAGGACGGCCGTATATGCTATTGTGGCTACGGTAGAAGAAATAACTGCTATAATGGTAAAAAAAAGGGTAAAAGTATAGTTTAGGGTACCCCTTGGCGATTTTTGGCAGCACATAGATACCGATTTTGTGCAATTCTTTGACTCGTTATTTTGGCTTGCAAAGCGGCGATTTTTGGGCTACACAAAGCCAAAATAACAAGACAAACAAATGCACAAACTTGGTATCCATGTACACATCGACTTATTTTCACTTAAAAAAAAATCCCCCGAATTGCACAAAAATGGCATTGCGCACTCCTTTGACTTTATCCATGTACACGTTGACCTATTTTCACTTTAAAAAAATCCCCGAATTGCACAAAAATGCATTGCGCACTCTTTAACTATCCTGTACACGTCAACCTATTTTCACTTTAAAAAAAAATCCCAGAATTGCACAAACATGCATTGCGCACTTCCTTTGTCCATGTACATAATATATTTTCACTACAAAGATCAACAAATTCTACAATATAGCAAACAAAAAATCATAATCTCATATAAAATACAGTTTAAACCAAACAATAAATAACATAAAAAGGAAAAAACATGTATACATTTAGCATACCAAAGCCATACAGTCAAAGTCATAATTCGGACACCATAATCAGAAGATCTATAATCCGACTCAAAGCTAAATCTTTTTTGCGCATGCGCCGCATGACGCATGCTCAAGGGTTTTACGCGTGCGCGCAGACATTTACGACTGCGCATATGCGTGCGCAAGCCAGATCGTTTTCGCGTGCGCGTTTAAGTATAACGATGGTATAAGCTCAAAACATCTAATTATCATTTCAGTAATGTTAATGATTGCAGGGTCCTTAATCTTCGAATTGGACCGGCTTATATTTTTGCAGACAAAGAGCATTTATAAAGTATCTTGACTTCGATTAGTCAATAGAATTTCGATGCGGAGCTCCCAAAGGATCTAGAAAATAAGTATGTTTCGATGTCCATCAAAAAAAAACGAATGTACAAAAAATGGATAAGGTTATCCTTTGTTATCTAACCGTTCCGAAATCTTTATTAATCCACGCTGCTCTGCCGGGGGGGGAACGTCGTGGCACACAATGATTGGAAGTGACTTCAGCACTATCTATCTTCAGGGCAGGTTTTTTATTTTATTCGGCTTATAATTCCTTACTACATGTAGTAGTTTAATCTCGATTACTACCGTCTTTGAATATGATTTAATCAATTGCTGTATTTAAAATCACGAAACATCAAATAGTTTTCTGGTTGCAATTTTCTAATTTCGGCTATGCGTAGGAACGCATGCGCACGTGAAGAAATTTTAATAAGTAAACAAAATATTAAGCTTCTTTTTTTGTAAATTTTGATCCCTTTAGATCATAATTGCTCATTATTTTATAAATACGGTTAATATTTTTTAATTTTATAATTTCTGCATGCCATTTACCGATTTAAATGTGATATAATAATCCGGAAAAATTGATAACCGGAATCGCCGAAGTCCCGACGAGTCCGATTAAAGACTTTTGACGTATTCACTTACCAGATTTCGAAGTGCTTCGTACCCCAGAACCACTACAATTAAAATATCACATATCAATGGCTTTTTTTCAAACCAGGTCACCTTTCTGATTGAACGCTCACATAGTGACCATCGACCTTTCTTCCTACAACCCATTCAAATCCATCTAAACAGTTTTTAAGTTCGACTAGAACATATCCTTCCTACACAGACATTATAATGGCTACTAAGTAAACCTTCATTACACCCAGTCATTAAGCTCCTTTCGCTCCAAATCGTACAGAAACTTCAATTAATCTTACTACACTCGGCCATTCAGTCTAAAGAAATCAACCCAAACACAACCACAAAAACGCTTACACACATCATGATCAAAATTCCCGAATCAGGCCCGATACTCACAATAGGTTTCATCACATTGAATCCTCAGGCTACATAAATGAAACAACTACTTGGCGATAAATCAAACAACAACTTCACCATAATACAAGGGGTACCTTAAAGTCTACTCTACCCAAAAAAAGTATTAGACATTTTTCCTTTTTTACCGGCAGTAAACTTCGCAATGCAGTGGGCTAAAGCACATTTGAGCATTGAATTCAAAATTAATAAATACTTTAATATCTGTCTAAGAGAAAACTCTGATTATTTCCTTATTATTGCAGCCTCCAAAATGTAATGGCTAATCTACCGAAATGTAACAGGTAGCAACGTGAAATTTCGACAAGGTATTTCGGTTGATTAGTCATTTAATTTTGGGGGCCGCTATAATAAGAGAGTACAAAAATCTGACATATTTATAAGTAAGAGAAAATGAATTTACGGTCCCTAACCCCCAACAAATAATAAAATAAGTTAGAAGGTTACTTTTCTTTTAGTAAAATGTGCTGAAGTTAAAAGCTAGAGCAACGATTCTTCAAAAAATGACACACGTGACAAAATCCGTATCCATCATAAACAATATTTAGACAATTACAGACTGCACTATTTCGAACGAGCTACAATTCCGCAAATCGGAACC